TAGTTGCATTGAACAACCACACATACACTCATTCACGATCAGGATTTTCTCATTTCAGTCATTTGTAATTGAAAGATGCAAGACATCACTCACAATTTTTGTAGATTTGTACAATTAACGGTAGAGTCTTTCTCGCATAGCCTTTCGCCTGTCTTTGTTTATACTCTGTATATAATTAAATCTCGTATATAAAACTATAAAATGTCCCTTCGGCTTCGGCGATTTCAATCTTTAAATAATCCAATGTCCAATTTTGTGCAGCTTTTTAATACATTGTGACACAACATCCAACATTTTTTATATTAAAAATAAAATTTCCATTGATAGACAGCAGATTTCAACGACCAAAACGACTCTTCGTCTTCTTTGAAGAGTTAATACACTCCTATCTACTCCTACAGTCAGCCATATTTATTAGTAAAAGTTCGTGTTCAATTTCCGCATCCATTCCATTGCTTTCATGCGACCAATCAAATCACTTCTCGTTTTGGTTTTCGCCAGGGCCTCCGGCAACGCCATAGGGGCAACGCAGTGTCAGCCGTGAGGCCCCAGTGAACTCTACTATATACTGGAACGATAACTACTGATAAACATGCCCATACCAGTGAACTCTAATAATAACTGGAAGGCTAAGTCAGGGGGGGAAGTTGAAGCCGTGCTTGAAGCTTTTTTTGTAGGTAGACCCAGTCCTTTTTACATTTTTTTTTCAAAATATGCACATTTTTCGATCAGAAAAATCTTGCCCCAAAATATTAGTTATACTACCAAATTTAATTTATATCAGTAGTATTATAAATGAATTTAATATTCGCAAAGCAAACAAATCACGAATTAGCAAAAAAAAATGCGAAAAACACGACCATAAGCATGAACGGTCTGAAAAACCGCGCGTTTTAGGCTGCTTTTTCTGAGTTTTTGGAAGTTTAAGATAAAACTAAGACGTCATACCTCAGGAATATTTTATACCCATGCAAAATACATCTATATGCGAAGTTTCAAGAAGATTTAACGTTTTAAGGTCGAAAAAAAAGCATTTGAAAATTGACAAAAATATTGCCATATTCAAAGTGCTCATAGTGGCCAACAAGATGCCGATGACGAAAATAACATCACTTGAAAAACGCCAATTTATTTATGTTTAAGAGCGACTAAAACAAGGACTAAAAGCTCAGGATCAATAACAATACCTGGGGTTTAGTACAACATAAGTTTTGGGACTGTCAAAATGTTTTATAGTATATATTTTTGAGTTGAACGGCGAGATTTCCTTCGGCACGTCCAAACTTTCGTCATTTTTTCAAAATACAAAAGCAAAACTGCTTACTTTTTGCTGCAGAGAGATGTAAAACAGTTGGAACTAATCGGAAAACCTGGTTTAAATCCCAATCATTGTTGTATTCCCATGGAAAAAGTGTTTTTCTTGCAAATTTTTGCACGAAAACAAACTTTTGGCAGAATTTTTTTCACTCCTCGAAACTCTCCTTAGTCTTTTTGAAAGCTGATTTTCCCGCGCGCCGGCTTCAACGAATCATAGACTTTGATCATAGGAGTTAGCCTTCCAGTTATTATTAGAGTTCACTGGCCCATACTTGCCTGAAGCCAAGATGGCGGAAATTGAAGCTCGTTCTGTACCATTGAACTAAAAATAACTGGAACGATACCTCCAACCGGAAATGTGAAGCCATGCCCAGGCATGCCCACTGTTGTCATGCCCAGTCTTTTCACGTAACGGAAAAACGCGGGTTTTTTAAATTTTCACAACTGGGTAAAAAAAATGCACTAAAACACTAAAACATCGTTTAAAACGACTTAAAATGCACCTGACAGTACATTTTTACAATAAAAAATCCTTCAAAACTCTAGAGTAAAATATTTTTAATTTGTTTGTGTAGAAATCGTAATTAAATTTTCTTTTTTGAGTAAAAACGTCGAGCGAGGAGTGGAGCTTGCCGTGGTCTAATCATATAAGGTTTGAAATATTTGTGTGAAATTCCCTATTTTGCTCGTTCGTTTTCCAATTTATTCGTCTGAAAGTTAGGAAAAAGGTATTCTAACAAGATCAAACTACCATCCACAGTTATGTTTTGTAGTAGAGTATTTATCAAGTTTTAAAAATACAAAATAACAAATATAAACATTAAAGTTTTTTTTCGCGGATAAGTATTTCATGTTGCGATTATTCACATTCGGCAAGAAATACAAAGAAAAAGTGGTCAACGAAGGCAAACAAAGTGATAGATACAGACTAAATAAACTTGTCTTGTTTAACAATCAATGAAGTTGTTATAAATACATATTTAATACGTTTATAAGATAAAGAATTACTTATCTTTCTCAAGTGTCATCTGCATATAAACGTTCCAGTCATTCAAATATGCACTTGTTGTCTCCAATCGGTTACTTTCGTCCTTGCAATTTTAGTCGGTAGGGTTCAAGATATGTTTTAAATGCACTTCTAATACAAAAATATAGCTTAAAACCCTAAATAAACGACAATTTTCGACCCATTCGCCCAAGAAAAAACATTCAAGTCACTGCCGAAATGGTCTCGCGAGAATGTCTCGCAACACAAACGCGCGTGTCTGGAGGTAGAACACGCGCGGCTGGAGGTAAAATTTGGCTTCATCCGATCATAAGCCAAACCTATTGGAGGTAGCGTTCCAGGTATTTTTAGTTCACTGTTCTGTACATAGTTCTGTAGGTATAAAACACGCGAGATTTTTGCGTGGGCTTGTCGCGAGGAGTCCAGAGCAGAAAAAACGTGTTAAAATATTTTAACAAGTGTGGATTCAAAGACCAAGAATTTCGGGGTTTTTACTTGAAATGCGTAAGATTTTTGAACTCTTTTAACAGCAATTCTAATGCAAAGTATAATTCTTGATTATAATATACAATCAATCGAATATTAAAGTTATTTTATCGAGCGACGAGCGACATCGTTTTGCTTTTATACTGACTGAAAAGTCAAACGTTCCAACAGCAACGAATTGGTTCAGTTTGGGCTATATTTGTGGACTCAGGCCAACGAATCATTAATTAAAAGATAAGTATTGTATTATTTTACTCTTATTTTACTCTTATTTGCTATAACTATTGATTTTTGAACAAGAATCATTCAACTTGTTTATGCGCCAATCAATTTATACTGTTAACATCCCCCCTGGGCATTTGAACTTTTTGAAATTTTGTGGTCAAATTTCCCACTCCCAGGACAAAAATGCTGTCCAAATGCCTCAACCCCCCAATCATTCTGACTGTAATTCTATCAGTTCAAGTTTGAAATTGTGTGAAAACATACACTGAATTCTGAAGGTAACTTCAACAGTTTAATAAATGAGACTCTGTATTAACAACTTACATCTCATGCTTTATAAAGCTTCTAAAAGTGTTTAAAGTATACTCCATTTTGAATTTTGTTTTTTAATAAATCTCGGACCTCGTGCAATCTGGTGTATTGGGTTATTCCAGAAAACATCCATACCACCCCCACAGAGGAAATTGGAAGTTAACCCCCCTACCCCCTTCGGATGTCCTAATGCATTTACTATTATCAGAAACAATTTTTTCTCCCCTCCCCCTCCGGACGGCAGAAATTTCCTCTGTGGGGGGAGTGTACATCTTTTCTGGAACAATCCATTAAAATGGTCAAATGCCCCATGTCTTGTGACTCAGCATCAAATGCCCTACCCTAACAGCAATTCAAAAGGTCAAATGCCCCACTCAAGTTGTCAAATGCCCGGGGGGATGTTAACAGTATAAATTGATTGGTGCATTAAATGGTGCCTGTCACTGGGCATTTCGTTCTGTATGATTGTGGATAGATAGAAAAATTGTATTTACCCATGCTAACCCTGTCAACCGAAGTTGATTTCCACAGGGGGTGTGTAGTGCTTCCCATACATGAAGAGACACAATGTATAATATTTGTCTGCTGCTACTTTATTAGATTTACTTGGTGGCCATCTTCGATCATATCTTCGTTTGCACCTAGCTCGTGGTCTGGAAACACAGATTTGTTGCCATCCAGGAGAAAATGATGACAAACTTCCAGAATCATTTTGCTTTTTAGCTTCTTCATGTTATTGATGATGTTGCCTTTCTGGCAAACATGCAGCTTGAAGATATGTTCACAGTGTTCAATTGTAATGTAAACAGACTTTGATTTGTAGTGTACTTGTTATGGTTAAATTAACCCATTAAGTGCCAGCGCTATCCCCTTGCCAAGTGAAATTGTCTGGCATTAGAAAGAGTCTGACGTTAGACAGAGTAAAATAATAAAATAGGGTGCAATGCGACTCAATGGGTTAACTAGACACATGGGCAGATAGACTAGTTAACCCATTAAGCGCCAGCACTATCCCCTTGATGAGTAAAATCATCTGGCATTAGACAGAGTGAAATAATAAAGTAATGTGCATCAGGGCGCAATGCGACTCAATGGGTTAATTTCACAATTTGTTTCTCTGTGACCTTTACAAGAGCCTTGTAAGGAACAATTGCCACTTGTGATATACAGTAGAACTGTTGTTAATGGGCATTCAGGCCAATTGTGGAAGTGGTCATTGAGTACTTACATTTTGTGTAGTATGACTGTACATAGTTTTACTGTAAATATATATGTGTATTGTATGCCTGGCATGGTCAAATGTTGTCGGTATGTAATTTATTTAAAAAAATACTATATGTTTACCCATGTCAGGTGATGTGTAATACAATTATTGCAGTAAGGATTGATTAATACATTGTTGCAAAAATAAACACTTGCCTGTGAAATTAAATTTTTGGCTTATTTTCTTTGTTACTGCTGTAATATTCATTACTTTTGCACTTGTGAATTGTACAGTTAACTGGCATGTTATTTTTTCCTTCTGAAAGGTAATAGCTTTTGTTTTTTACTTTAGAAAATGATTTTTTTCTTAAAATTTCAGGAAAAAATTGTTCTCTGACAGGTGAAAAAGGACTGGGGAGAGTTAAAATTTGTTGAAAGATTTGTTTCTCTTTTTGCACGAAAATACTCATTTTTAGTGATACATAGCCTACCTAAATGGTAAAAAATAGGTGAAAAAGTAAGATTGATGTAACTTTAGCCCATATTCGCTGTGTTCTTTTCAAATTACTCACCGAAAGTCCTGAAAACGCAAAAGTTTGCCGATGTTTCTTGGCGGCTTTTTTGCCGAACTTGTTTTTCACTCATCAAATAAGTTGAGATAAAATGACAAAATGTTTCTAAAATTTACTTCTACTGAAAGACCACTTTCTCTAGTTTACTAGAGGCATAGAAAAGCTCGACTTTCAAACAGCTGGCTGAAAAATTATGAAGCTTTTACATAAAATGATGAACATTTTCCATACGGAATTTAGTAAATTTCCGCGTAGGGGCCTGGATCATACCTACAAAACGAGCTTCAATTTCCGCCATCTTGGCTTCAATTTTTGAGCCGCAGTTATCGTTCCAGTATATAGTAGAGTTCACTGTGAGGCCCTGGGACCGAGGATGACGCGCACTCCTTTGAAGGCAGCCATATTGCCGAATATAAACATCCACTTGATGAATAAACTTTTCATATTTCACTCTATTTCCAACGACCAATCAAATCACTTCTGCTTCGGCTTGTCCCAGGGCTTACGGCAACGCAGGCAGCCGAGAAGCCCTGGGAACGAGGATGATTAAAAATACTGAAATCTGCTAGGCGTTGCTAGGCGTTCTGAAGCACCTTGAGCGGTGACGTCACACCTAGGTCCCAGTCTCGTACTACATCCACGTTTTTTCTCGCGCTTGCTTCAGAACGACTGGGACTAGGCTGCCCTTTCCCACCCTCTTGGAACACAAGCGTTGCCGCTTGTTGCGTTTCCATTTGGAAGGAAATTTCCTTCCAGAAATTTGGAAATTTGGGCCTTTGGAAGGAAATTTGGAAGGAAATAGCATTTGGAAGGAAATTGGGAGGAAATATTGTTATAAGGAGGCAGGGACGCCGGAACGATAATAAGGCAAAGGGGGGCGGACGCACACCAAGGGCACGTCTATAGAGCAAAACTTCAAAATCTACCGGAAAATTTTTTTTCAATGGAAATTTTTGGGCGACCTCCCGTCGCCAAAAAAATTTCGGTCAGTGTACCATTTTATTATACTGGGTCAAAAATTTTTTCCGGACATACTAAAACTGAAATATAAACTATAAATTGCCTGAATCTCATGATTTTCCTACAAAAAGCATCGTATGTGATTTATCACGTAGTATTTTACAACTAAAAGGGCACTTCTGCCCCCCCTAGCAAAAGGCAAGGGGGGGGGCAGCCGCCCCCCCTGCCCCCCCCCAGTTCCGGCGTCCCTGTAAGGAGGGAAATGAGAAGGAAATCTATTTTATCTCATAATTTCTAAGAATAAGGCAATTTTCATACAATTTTGTGCAAAAGAAGACTCTGAAAATGCCATTTCCAACGATCTAGAGACTCCATATTTTCAAAATTTTCCGCTCGGCGCCAACCATGGTGGGGCCTCGTGGACTCCTCAAAGCGACATCTCACACATGTTTTTTTTTCCAAAGTTGGCAACTATGTATCTAGCACAGAACCCCAGAATCGCTATATTGAAATAACAACCAAACCTAGTACCCAGGTATTATTTTTCAGACTCTACTTGGGTGGGGGGCTGCTTAGTGTAGCAGAGGGGAGAGATGCAAGAAACAGTTATGGAATCTCTTTTCGCACCCACAACAAGTAGCCCCAATTATTATGCTTTTTGTCCCCCGCGGGGGCGAATATGAACTGATTTTAACCGGCAAAATACAAAGTTATCTGCTATAAATTAATATAATGGGTCGTTCCAGAAAAGATCCATACTGCCCCCACGGAGGAAATTTCTGCCATCCGGAGGGGGAGGGGAGAAAAAATGTTTCTGATAATAGTAAATGTATTAGGACATCCGAAGGGGGTAGGGGGGTTAACTTCCTATTTCCTCCGCGGGGGTGGTATGGATGTTTTCTGGAATAACCCAATGTGTTTGAATACTAGAGTTTAGATGTTAATTACCAGGTAAATCTGCAATTTTGATAAAAATTTTGAAGGAAAAATGGAAGGATATTTAGAGATTTTTGGAAGGAAATTTTGTGGAAAAAAAGGAAATTTCGGGTTATGGAGAAGGAATTATTTTTTTGGGAGTGGAAACACTGGCCGCTTGACGAAGGAGCGCAGGCGGGAAAGAACAAAGGCGAGAAAACGAAAGTAAACCAAAGCTCAGCGAAGTAGGACGCGGTGAGTATAGTGATCGATTTATCGATTATTCAAGACGGAAACGCAGAAGCGTTGAATAAAGAAAGGTATGTTTAATAGATTTTCCGTACACCTGTTCACTAGTGGGCGAAAAGTGCCAGACGACATAGGTTTCTCAACTTTCTCTGGACTTTTCTCTCGCGCCGCAAAGATACTGTACCTACTACCTAGTAGTTTGCTATTATATTTTTAACAAAAATATTTATAAATGATTAAATTTTGCATTCCCATTTCTAAAATTTGCTGTTTCTTGAGTTAAATTTCGATAATAGCAATCCACATGATATAAATCGTTCTTATAGTTTTATATTATGCGTATAAATAAAGTTTTGGCCTCGAGCCAGAAATGCCAGAATATATGAAACCCTCGTATGGCCGCTCCATGGCGAGAATTGAGAAATTATGGTCACGCACGCGCATTGGGTGCTTGGACCACTGATATACACTAAGACCTGTCTTAGTGTATATCAATGGCTTGGACTTAGAAAATATTTTCTATATATGGCTGCGGTCACTCTTATGTTTTGTATGGGAGTTAGCGAAAAAATCACTTGATCTAGCGCTAAAATTGAAAATGTTCAATCTGTTTTGGTTAATTGCACTTGTTAAAACCTAATTTCGAAGATATATTTTAGAATATCCACGATTTGGTATCGCAATAATTAAATATGAAGCATTTTAGTTAGGAATTTGTATTGTGAAGTGAGGACCACCAAGGGGTAATATGACCGACAGGCGACATTCCTTAATTAAAAAGAGGTGACTCATGACTATCTAAAAAAGAGGACAAATGACAGCTCCTGACTGGGAAAAAGCGACAAATTGCGATTTGTGTTATGGAATGTGGGTCAAAAGTGACAGCGACATTTATTACAATAAAACAAGCGACAAAGCAGCTACAAAATGAGTGACAAGCGACCTGGGTTGCACCCTTGGTGGGCCTCTGAAATACCTCAATAAATTCCATTTTCAGATGAAATATTGAACATATATGCAAAATGTTCAATCTCATTTGGCTTGGCAAAACTTTGCATTTCTAAGCATAATTTAGACAAAATCAGCATGGTTTATTCCCCATTCGGTATAGCCGTGTATTTTAGGTGAATTTTCACATATCTTAGCCTTTGAAATGGGTTGTTCCAGAAAAGGTCCACACTCCCCCACAGAGGAAATTTCTGCCGACCGGAGGGGGAGGGGAGACAAAATTGTTTCTGATAATAGTAAATGTATAATTAGGACATCCGAAGGGGGTAAGGGTGGCATGTATGTTTTCTTGAATGACCCAATATGATGCCGCACACAAAATTTGACCAAAATAACAGGAATAAGTTGGCGCTTCTTCGAAATATGCCTGATGCCTCCATTTTGTAATTTGTATGCACTCTAAAGAAGCCTCTACAGAAGAAGAGCTTTGTAACCATGCCTTATAGTTTCTAGGCAACAAAATATTTTATATTCGTAAACATTGTCTGCAAGACTTCAGATGCGCCATCATGCGGGTAAAAGTGGTATAATTTTTTGCGCAAAGGTCAGATGGGTCAATCGAGCAAAACATATAAACACATGGAATCGTTTTGGATATCTAGCATTTCTGTTTGCCCCGACAAGCTAAAAATTCTTATGAACTGGGGTACCGGTACTTTAACCATACAATAATTAATCCTGAGCGGTTAAAAAAGCGTAATAATTAAGCCACTGGTGGAAACCAAGACATTTATGACCGCAGAATATATTATACTAATGCTCCGCCCCCTAATGTCCACAATTTAATTTCTTGCCATTGCATTTTCTGTGCAGAACTGTGGTTTTTGCGGGACTGCTGGGAGCCTGGGACATGTTTAATTATATGTTTTTACCAAACTGACAGATATGTGGTAGATCGATATATGCAACACTAACATACTAACAGCTCTGTGAAATTGTCTGTAAAAATAAAGTGTGAAATATATATGCACAACTGGCAGATATAGGAATTTGGCCCCCAAACATTTGATCTAGCTGTCACCATGGATTGTAAAATAACATGGGCAAATTATTGGATTGTTATTTTACAATCCATGTTGTACGGTACCACACATAGATCTGTGATATGGATTATATGGATATACAGTAGATTAATATAACTTACTAGATTAACTCTTTCCTTCTGGCTTCGATCTGCATGTTGAAATATTAAGCTAGCATGTGAGTGATTTGTGAAGAAAATAGGTCAGTCTACTCACTGGGGTCCTGATGCTTGTGATTGCAATTCCTGGGCATTTTTTGGGGCATATGATCATACTGTAGTTAGGAAAATGACAAGCATATTTTGAGATTATATATATTTAATATATTTTCTGCACAAATGGGTTTATAGGACTGCATGCATGCACATTTTGTGTAGAACACGTACTGCACATTAACACCCCCCCCCCCTCCTGATTTACAGTGTGCATGCATGGTTCAATTCTTCATGTTACCATATATACCCCCACACCCGGGCAAATAAAGAAAGCCAATTCCCCTCCCAATGGGGACAATTAACATTTACAATAATGACCATTTATTGCACAGAAATATATGTAATCAAATTTTCACAAAATGTCACACAACCACTAATGAAAGTGATCTTGAACATGTTCATTACAGCTATGGAAGCCGCTATATGTTACAGCTGGTGATAAGGCATTTTTTCTTGCAATTTAATTGCAAAATGTTCTTCTGATGCCATATATCTTAAATAAGCTGAGCTCATTCAAGGCCCAAAGTTAAGTCCCTAGCTTGAATGTCAACATTTATACTCCCTATCCCCACAGGGCACCCTCAGGAATTACTGATGCTCAAGAAAATCCCCCCCCCCCCAAGAATTGAAACATGCATTAATTAGATTGTAGTAGTGGATCTTAAACAGCTATATTAAGGGATCACACAATGTAAATCAAGAGAATACAGGTTTCAAAGTACAGGCCCTCCTGGGTTATGGGTATATGCAACCCGAAGAAAGGAGTGCCTCACAGCATGGAGCCATATGGCATATGTTTTCTTCATTGTATCACAGTTAATAGAATGAGATTCTATTAACTGTGATTGTATCAAGCATATTGAAACGCAGGCGTCTGATCTGATTGGCTTACACTCATGGCCCGGCACTGGCTGTTGACAAAATTACCTACTGAAATTATTTATACCAAATGTAAACAACAGCATTTTGAACTATGGTGTAGAACTATAATTCAAACTATGGTGTAGATCGTCTTTGATTCTATTGAAAGAACCTACGCTATATTAGATCTCGTTATCGTCGTAGACAAGTTAACACAACGCAATTAAGGCAACACCATATAGCTTATTTCGAGTGACGAACGAGACACCTACACTGACACAGGCCATTCATTTTATTTTCATAGTTGCCGTGTTTTTCCAGTTTTGGCTGCAGTAACATGGCTTTGTAGCTAAGACCCTGAAAATGGGGACTTGTCATTTGAAGTGATGCAAATGCCCCACTCTTGGGGCAAATAACAGTCTTTGGGTAACAAATACTTATAATAGCCACTTTAAGCATGTGACGGGAACGCCGTGGAGACGGCAAACAAACTCGTTAAACCAAACGATTGCAGAAGAAAACCTGTCGTCTATTATTCATCGGCGTATGAAACTTAATAATACAATCAAAGGATCAAGGTTAACACAGGGTTAATGATTGAGAAAAGTTCTAGGACCCTAATTAAAATAGCAGTTGTCACGGTCCCAGCTTGAAATGTAAGCGTTGTAGCACAAGACGTGATATTAAATCAGAGTATTTGGCCGTTGTAAACAAGACAACGGCAACGTCTAAAACTCGCGCGAAATTTTAGTTGTTAATTTCTGCTGCATGTACTATGTACGTCCCTGCATGTACTATATTTAGACGGATTTCGATCGAGGACGCGGACGTCAAAGACGACGTGAAAATG